TGGGCCGCTACCTGCGTGCCCGTGGGTTTCCCTAAGCCTGTGAACAAGATCCTTTCAGGGGACCCTCCCCCAGTCCTGTGTTGGCACAGCCTTCCTTTCCCCGCCGGGACCCTGACAGAGTCATGCACTAAATTCTAACAGCTCCACGCAAATCGTGTGCTGTGGTCCCACCTCCCCTCGGAGCTCAACCCCTGAGCCGCAGGATGGCTTTCAAACCTCTCCTCCCTCTCACCAAGGGGCCTTTGCACAGTCTGCCCCCCAAGCCTGGACTCTCCTTCATGCTGCTGTGCCCAAATGTTTCCTATGAAACTTCCGTCCTTCCTGTCCTCCTCCCAAAGCAGCTGGCTTTCCTTCCCAGGGGGAGTCCTCATACTTAGCTCTGTGGTCACTCCATCTGCCGTCTCCTCCACCCCCAGGCCGCGAGGTCCTTAGAGGCTGCAGCCGGGCTCATTTACGTTCCATTTTATCCCCAAAGACTATGAAGATGCTGGCACATAAAAGATGCTCGTGAAATATTTTTCAAACAGACGAGGGAACCAACAATCTGTTCCCGTCTTAGACCCTTACGAGTGTCAAAAGCCGCAACGTGTCCCCAGCAAAGCGCAGACACGACACGGATAGACCCACGGGAACACACACGTATCCTCGTGAAAATGAACGCGCCGACACGTTAACATGCACACTGATGCACACACGCGCACGGGCACACGCTTACGTACACACGCGAGAGCGGACACTGTCGAACAGACATTCGCGCGCACACGCGAGAGAAAAGCTCCCAAGGCGGCCGTCTGCCACCCTGAGCTCATTAAATCCGGCTAAATATAGCACGTCTGCAGCTGCGCTCAGCAAGCTGCCCACACAGGCGAGGAAAAGACACCGGTTAGTGGGAGGGAGCCGGGAGGCCAGCTGTGGGCGAGGGGCCGCGGGCACACGGGAGGGGAGCCCTGAGGTGGCGGTCCCGGCATCTGAGCGGCTCCTCTGGTCGCCGGCCCCAGGCGGTGGGACGTGAGGTCAGACCCACACACACAGTGGGGGTGGGTGGTTCTGAGCATCCACGTCTTCTCCGTCCCCTTGGGGACGTTTTTCTGACAGGTGATGGGGCCTAGGAGCGGGGTGGGGGGGTGGGGAGTCAGGACGCAGCCCTGGACAAAGCCAGGCTCGCTGGCGGCCAGGGCAGGACGGAGACCCGTGGGTCAGACGGGAGCCTGTAACGGCACTCAGTCCGGACTGCGGTCTCCGGGTCCCGGTCTGGGGACAGGAGAAAGTTCAGAGTCCCCACCGAGTGGGTGTGGGGGGGAAGGAGAGCGGCAGGGAGGGTGGCCGGGGGGCCGGAGGGCCGCGTGGAGAGTGCGGCTGGTGCGGACCATGTGTCCGGGGCCCCTGCGCCGAACTCCACGTCAGACGGCTGGCCGTGCGCTGGGGGTGCTTGCTGAGCTCAGGGCAGCCGGGACCCGCAGACAGAGGAAACCAGGAGGCACAGAGAGTGCTAGAATGTCAGAGCCCACGGGGCTGCGTGGGCTCCACGTGCACGCAGGACGGCGCCTGTGGGCCGGGGGACCAGACCCTCCGTCCTCTGCCCCCAGGCAGGTCCCCCCCACACAGAAATCTGGTCCCAAATAACAGGGAAGCAGCAGGCTGCGGGCCGTGCAGCTGCGGGATGGAGTCTGAGCGCCCAGGCCGGCCCCCTCCCCGCTCACGTCCTGGAGCCTACACAGGACACACCTCTGTGCGGGGACAACCGAGCGGCCACAGCACCGGACGAGCGAGAAGACGGATCTCCGGAAGCCCCTCCGCCTGTCTGCCATTCTGGGAAGAAGACATTACGGTCCTCTCTCCACGAGGGAGTAAACTGAGGTTCAGAGACGCTTGGTGACCTGCCCAGAACGTCACAGCACTGAATGAAGGAACAGGGCTTCACCCCCAGGCCTGGCTCCCTCCCAGCTCAGAGGCTGCAGCAACAGCCCCGGGGCCTCCTGAGTCCTGGTCGGGGGGCCACTCGCACCTCCCCTGCATCTGGCCCCCAGTGAGGCTGCGTAAGGCCGGCAGAAATACTGGAACGACCGTGCGCGCGGAAGAACACGGCGAACGCTGAAGCGCGTCACGGGGTCACAGGCGCCAGGCGGA